ATAAAAGGTATTTCTGTCCCATTTTATATCACACGTTACTGTGCTGATCGGAAAAGTTTTTTCTTTGATCATGATTTTTCGGACATTGTTATAATATTCTTCTAATAGTTTTCAAGTATATAAATTTTGTTTAAGAATTAACTGATATCTAGATGCGTTAATCATAACTCTCATACCTTGAATATGGTAAATTTGGAAGACAGATAAAAGGTTCTTAAGTCCTTCAACTATTTAATTCGCGCCAAATTAATGTATTTAATAAACACAGCATCAGTAGTAGTCTGAACTGTCCGGTAAATTTTAGATTTTGAATGTTTACCTCGCTGAGAGTTCAATGTTTATCCATTTTCCAGTAGTTTCAATGATATTATGAATGTTATTGAGGGGTATGTCTTCCTCATCTTTAATTAGAGGTCTTGAGTTGTCGCCTATAATTAGAGGTGTCGAGTTGGAATACTTGAAATGAAAAAACTTTCCGTGGAGAAAACAAGTTGGAGGTCTGAAGTATGGGTAAAGGTGCGGGGTCAAGGAGCAGGATAATTCTTTCATAAAGACTATACATAATTCAAGTCAAGGTCTGTGTTGTGCATTAATTCAGACTTTTGATGCATGGGTTCCACAAGTGGAAATTTCAGCGAATTTTTTCGTTTAACACCCTTTTTTTTCTTCCATCCCAGAGTATTTGTCACTTCTCCATTTGGAAATCGATTTTTTTTTTTTTATAGTACTTTATTTCAAAAAAAAATTGAAAACATTGTGCGTTCGTGAAATTTGATCACCTTTTTTTTTAAAAAAAAAAAAATTGAAGTCCCGAAAACTGAGATATTTGGGTGAAAATTTTTCTTCCGCTCGTAAAATTTAACTTTCTCTCAAGCAAAATACATAGCCAAACACAACTTCAACTTTCAAAAACTATTTTTTAAAACATCATCAAAAATTCTTTTTTTCAAGTTTCAACCAAATTTATGTTCAAAAGTCTAAATTTATCTTCAAAAATTTATATTTGAAGTTTCAGAAATCATAATTTGTGAATACTAAAATTGTATGGGATAATGAGAAGAACTCATGGTTGCGGTTAACTCTTGAAAAATCCAAAGCTATGCTGACACACTTTGGAAGAATAAAAGTGGAACCTGCAAAAAATTGTTTCTAAATTTACAAAAGGTCATTATTTGGGGGTATGTGTGTTTTTTTGGGGNCAATATATTATGGCATGCTTTTTCCAAGAAAATCAGAAGAAGAAAATTTGGTGTGCAACTTTTTCTTGGTATCCATTGACTTGCATGAGTCAATGGGTCTTTCTATCACTTAAAATAAAGAGTCTTTTCTGAACAAATGGCAGTTCTGTTGATCATAAGAATTTCCTTAAAGCTTGAAGTAGCAGACAAGGCAGGTAGCAGACAAATGGCAGTTCTCCATTTCTTACCCCTTTTTTTGGCACTGAATCTTTGAATAAATTCATTTGCAAAATCTTTTTATAGTCAAGTTATAAGTTTTTGGTGAAGCTCATACCTTAATCAGCTGTGGGATTCTTCATTCTTGCTTTTATTCATTAAATAAGGTGCATTTCCTCTCACTTCATTTCTACAATTAGAAGAGATTATTGTGTGTGATTTTTGTATTTACTTGATTGAGTACAAGATTCTTGAAAATCCTATTTTTAGGAATGAGCTTTAGCAGTGATATTGAGCCAAGGTCTATCGGAAAGAGCCTCTCTCTACCTTCACAAGTAGTGGTAAGGTCTGCGTAATCACTACCCTTCCCAGACCCCACTTATAGAATTACGCTGGGTATGTTGTTGTTGTTATTGAACTTTAGTAGTGATGCAGTTTTCAGAAAAGTGCTACTATCCTTTTTCTTTTACATACAGAAATGTTACAGTTTTGCTGAATTACCTTAGAAAATTTGTTAATTATCATCAGTGTATAATTTGCATTTCTTAGCAATTCTTGAAGAATAATTAATTTTGTTTTCCAGGAGAAGTGGAATTTTAGACACATTTGGATTATTTTTGGGCTTCCTTCCTCTTCTTTCTTATATGAAAAAAAGGGGTTGCCCGGTGCACAAAGCATCTCGCGTTTATGCAGGGTCCAGGGAAGGGCCACATCCCAAGGGGGTGTGATATAGGCAGCCTACCCTAATGCTAGCATTAGTGACCAATTCTACGGTTCGAACCCGTGACCTATAGGCAGAAGCAGACCTATGCGATAGGTAGAGGGGTCATCCGGCACCCGTAAAGTTCGGCAAATATTTTATCTATACACGCATATGTCTTTAGAAAATAGTGATATAGTAGTAGTGGACACCCTATATACAAAGCATATTTTGGTTGAATCAAAAAGTGCACCCGTGACTTTCAAATCTTGGGTCCCCTTCTACCTATAGGTCACACGGAGACAACTCTTTTTTTCTTATATGCAAGTCCCGTAAATTTCATGAGGAATATTTAGATTCACCTCCAGACTTCTTTGATGGTTTATGTTGAATCTCATTTTTTCATCTCATCAGGGAAAGCTGAGGCTGAGCATATATAGAACTCTTTCTTCCAAGATTTGTCGAAATCCGAAATAGTGAATAGATTGTTGGAGTAGAGACAATATATTGAACACAAAAGAACTTGCATAGCTTTTACAGATTTAGTGATCAAGTCAGGAGAACAAGTGTCATTTCAATTTGATACTTTTATTGTGATGGCGGAGTTGGTTCCAATTGGGACTATTTTAGCTGTGATTAGCAGTCAAGTAATGAAAACAGCTCTAGCTGCGAACGATGTATTATTTGAGAAGGAGAGTTTTAAGGTTCTGGGAAATTACCTTTTGGACATTGAGCCTGTCTTGAAAGAATTGCAGTTACAAAAGTTAAACGATTCGCCTGCTGCAAGGCAAGCTTTAGAATCCCTTGAAGCTGATTTAAAGAAGGCTAATGACTTGGTCGAAAAATACAAAAACCGAGCCCGTTTTTACTTGCTAGTCAAGTGTAGGAACATTGTCAAGGAGGTACAGGATGTTACGAGGGACATTGGAAAATCTTTAGCCGCACTATCCCTTGTCAACATTGAAGTCTTGTCGGGGATTTCAGAAGAGGTAAATAGGCTGCAGAATGAGATGCAAAGAGCTAACTTTGAGGCTTCTCAGTCGTGTCTCCAAATTGTTAACAAGTTAAACCAAGGTCTATCCGATCAGATACACGATCAGGAATTTGCTAACAATATTCTCAACGAAATAGCAAGGGCTGCTGGCGTACCAGTGGAGCCTGCAGAGATAACGAAAGAGCTAGATAATTTCAAGAAAGAGAAAGAAGAAGCTGCTTACCGGAAAGAGAGAGCTGAAGTCTTATTTCTGAATCAAGTTATTGAGCTGCTCTCTCGAGCCGATGCTGCACGAGATTATGAGGAAGTCAGAAGCCAGTACTTCCAGAGAGTTAGCATTATAGAAGGATATGACCCTAAAGAAGAATATATTCAGCCATTTAAAGCTTTATTTTGTTGTATAACTGGAACTATAATGGTAGATCCTGTAAGCCTATGCACGGGTACTGCCTGTGAACGAGCGTCTCTCCAAGCCTGGTTCGATTCAGGGGAGAAAACTGATCCCGAAACAGGTGAAGAACTGCAGGATTTATCGTTCAGGCCGAACCTCCAATTGAGACAGTTAATCGAGGAGTGGAAAGAGCTCAACTATTGCATCAAAATCAGGGCTTGCAAGGGGAAATTGCTTTCTGAAGTGGATGCATTAATTGAGGAGTCTCTTGTGCAAATGCAAGAACTTATGAAAGAAAACTCAATAAATAAAGAATGGGTGACAATCGGGGGACTCACCAAAATTGTCATCTCTAAGCTTGGCAGCTTGCATAAAGGATATCTGCAAGATAAAGCGATGGTTTCATTGAAGGAAGCTGTAGAAGGGCATGCTAGAAACAAGGTGAGTGAAAGATTTGTTTAAATATTACACAAACAAATGTTAAAGTAATTAGAATAGACTCTGAATTCTGAAATTGCTAATTTGCCGAGGGTCTATCGAAAACAGCCTCTCTACCTGCACAAGGTAGGGGTGAGAATTACATTGGGTATGTTGTTGTTGTCCGAAACAGCTAATTCCTGAATTTAGTTAAGCATTAGTTCTGCTTTCACCTAGCAAACTATGGGCTTTCACTTTTCTGCAGGACCTAGTGTTTATCTGAAAAACTGAAAAATAGGTAATTTCATTATTTTCTCATTTTACTGTTTCCACTCTAAAACTATTAATTAGTTTATACGAGTTGGACTTGTGGTATGGTCTGGTTGTTGCTAGTTGTTCCTACAGTATGCTTGGTCTTCCTTTTCATGCTTAGTTGTTTTCGAGAATAGTACATCACGAAGTCAAGAGTAGGACGCGAGGGGGTGGGATAATATTTTGCTTATCATGTGGATCAGGGCATATGAGCAAAAATGCGTACAAGTTTTACCCATGCAAAGTCCTAATTCACTTTATTCCTAATCAAATTGTTTTTCATATAATATACAGGATGTATTCGTTGAGAACCAGGGGCTTGAGAATGTTGTGACATGCTACGGAACAGACTCAACCATTTCAGGCGCTGCAATTGAGCTGATATATGAGGTTCTACAAGATCGGCCTGGTTGGAACTTGGCTTATTGCCAGATGCTTTCTCAGCAGTCCAATGCAATCTTGCTTCTCGTCTCTTTTCTCAAAAGTCAGGCTGGGCCATTAGCTGAGAAAGTAGAAGAAATCTTGGCTAAGCTTTGTGATGAGGAAGAAGAGAACATTGTTAAGGCTGCTCGAGAGGGATGGTATGGACCACTTATTGATAGGTTGCATCATGGTAAGCATAGCTGCAACACTCTTATATGTTACATCAGCACATGCATATAAATAGTCATCTTAATACATCGACCTATTCTTCTCTATTGAATTATTGCATCGGCCTATGTATATACATGCGGCGTTAGTTTTCTTGGAGTTACCCCCACTTGAGTTTTCTTGGAGTTACCCCCACTTGATTGCTTTGGTTCTTCTATTTTTTTTTTTCATGATAAATTCTTTAAGGAGGTTTCGGTCTTCTAATCATATATGAAATATCCTAGCAAACGGTAAAAAGTAAAAGACACTGACTGAAATATATAAACAGTGAGAGAATTTTCCTAACATATCGTACCTAACGTATAAACTTGTGCTTACTGTATGAGTTGGAAAACTCTCACAGCGATTCAATTTGATGACTCTAGAAAATTGATAGAATCCTAGCTTCTTTCTGGATGTTAGCTCTTAAAACACAAACACTTATGCTAAGAGCAAAAACATGGAAAAGAGCTCGAGATTTATTCTTTTATCTCCCTAAGACAAAAGGCATGGGTATAAGAGCTCAAGATTTTTCCTAATAGTAGAGAAGTTGAATTGAGGAAATATTATTCCAAGTGTCATGCACTGATCTGATCCCTTTCAAGCACATAGTTGTAACTATGTTCCTTCANCATATCCTGTACTTGTAAATATTCTCAAAGCTAATTCAATAACAGCAGAAGCAAGAGCAGCAGCACTCTTAACTGATCTATCAATGCGAAGTCATGAACTCAGTGTCGGATCCAAGAAAGCTTCTTGTTTCTGTATTGGCCGAGCACGTGCTCCTATCTGTCCTGCACACGGGGGTGCCTGTAGTGTGAGCAAAACATTTTGTCTGTTAGAGGCAAATGCATTGCCTGATCTGGTTAAACTTTTAAAAGAAAAGATACACGCCACGTCCTATGAGGCAATTCAAACGCTCTCTACTTTGGTTCGAGAAGAGTCTCCTCATAGAGGAGCCTATGTGCTGCACAAGGAGGATGCGATTTCACCAACAATAGAAGTTCTAAACTGGGGATCAGAATCTTTGAAAGGTGAAGCTTTAGGGCTGCTGGAAAAAGTATTTATGTCAAGGGAAATGGTTGATCTCTACGGGCCAACTGCTCGACTACATCTTGCGCGTTTAACAGGAGGTAGAATTTATGAAGATGGACATCTCCAAAGGAAAGCTGCTAGAGTCTTGTTACTTATCGATCGCCAATCCAGATCATCTAGGTCTCTTGTTGCAGGAATATCTGGTTGATAATTTCTAATCTTACATTACATTCCACTCTCTGGAAAGCGTAGTGCGACATTTGATCAAAGGCCACATTTTTTGACAGTTTAGGCCACACGTTTCAGTGTGGGTAAAGGCCTAATATGTTATAGTGAAGTCTCTTGATTTTTGTTATCCTATTAATTAGCTGTATGTAATTATGTTCTTGTGTGCTATGTATTACAGAAATTCATATTTTGAGACCTATGAAGGTGAGTGCTGTCACTAGGGTAAGTTGCCTACATTACACTCCTTTGGGGTGGCGGTCCTGTTGCGGAAGCCAAATGTATATAGTGTGTATGAGTCACAACTACTATACCAAAAATTATGACAGCCACCAAATAATAAATAAGACAATAAAACAACAATAAAAGGAACACC